TATATTAATTTATTAGAATGTAATATTTAATATTTTGCCATATACAGTGGTGTGAAAAAGTATTTGCCCCCCCCTCTCATCTTATTTTTCACACTTTAATGTTTCAGATCATCAAACTAAAATATTAAAGATGACACAAGTAAACACATTCAGTTTTGAAATTAATGTTTTTTTGTTATAAGGGTAAAACAAAATCTGAAACAACATAGCCTTGTGTGAAAAAGTTAAGTTTCATATTTCACTGTCATAAGTTCTGCATACTCTGGTATACTTGTTTGCTGTTTTTATTCAGTCTGTTGCTTTGACTGAAAGTGATGTAAATAAGGGAAAACAGGGAAGCAGAGACTAAAACCTGTTTAAATTGGCTTGACAGTGAAAACGCAGCCTGATTTTTAGCTTTGCTACTTGAGCTCTGAGGCTATTGATAAGTTGTAAGTCCAACCTGGCATAGCCCGACACCAAAAACGTTGTAATTGTAATATATATATATATGCAGTAAGACAAGAACTTACCGCCACATAGTCGTGTTTTGTTTTTGTGCCATATTAATCCATGACAGATTGAATCCTGACAATGTAGGACAAAAACACAATGAGCAAGATATAATTTACTCATCATCAGAAAATATATAGAATAGTATACATTTTATATGAGGGCGGGGCGATTTGGCTTAAAATCAAAATATCGATTATTTAAAATTTTACTTCTGTTACGATTAATGAGCTATTATTTTATTTGTTTCTTTTTTTGCCCTCACAGTTCATTGACAGGTTTTGTACAGTAAATCTGCTCATATTACAAGTGAGAGATTTTTGAACGAAGGGTGCATTACTTGATTTTAAAATAATTGAAGGAAACACACACTATTTTACTATTTATGATTATTTACTGAACATCAACGCTGAGCAACTGAAAAACACACTTTGCCTAAAACCAACAGTCACTTTTTTTCTTATATTAAAGTGAAAACAAATAACTTGCACTTTTGGAAACAAAAATAATTATTTTCAATGTTTTCAAAAGTAGAAAATAAAAATAAGTAAAATAACTCTTGTATTGTATATCTTGTAAATACTATTTTAAACAGTGCATTTTTTGAATCTGTAAACAAATATTTAAATGTAAATGATAATTTTATTGTAGTAGAAAATTTACCATCTTAAGGCATCTCTGGTTTTCGATCATCTGCAATATTATGCAAACGTGTGACGTGTAGTTAAATTTTTTGAGAGGTTTTCGGGTATGCAACTGCGCGACGGCTGCGCCGGAACATATCCGTACATTCAACACAGAAGCATAAATCAGTAATCAGTAATAGGATTGACCTGAAAAAATTAGATGTTGATTTAGATTACTTTTCGATTAATCACCCAGCTATATTTTATATACAAACTTTCAATGTTAATATTGCACATTGTGAAGTCTTCTTAATTAAAATGATAGTTCACCAAAACGCTGAAATTCGGACATTATTTACTCACTCTTGACTTATCTAAAGAAAAACAAGCTTCTTTCTAACATTGAAGACTAAAGTAGACATCTTAAAGAATCTTGAACATTTTGAACATTCTCCAAATTATAATTTTGTATCCAACAGAAAAAAGAAACAAAATTACAGTAGTTGTTAGCGCTTAAGATTGAGTAGATGGTTGGTAAATTTTCACATTACATGCTCCAGTCTACAGTCCCTATCATACATCTAGCGCAATAATGCGCAAGAGGTGTTTGGCACGATTTGATGCTATTTTCAGATCAGAGCAACCCTAGTTTTCACGTTTTGCGCCACGTTGTTTAAATAGCAAATCCATTTGAGCCACTGCCATCAATGGCATGTTGCTATTCTGGGAAACTGAAACTGACTGTGCCGTTGACCAAGTAAAAGCTGGTCTAAAGTCCAGCGCAGAGCGCATTAGTTATGTGCCTATGCAAGATCAAACGCTTAAAACACACAGGATGTACAGCAATACACAAATATCTTTACAAAGGAAAAAAAATAAAGGATTAAAATATTATTAAAATTATTATTTACTACATCAATAAAAAAACCACCACCTCCATGCCTTCTTCATTTGCGGGAGCTTTTTCAGTTTATTCATGACAATTTGAATTTGTATAATATTATTATTAACAATATTAATTATTTCTTGCATATTTATATTTGTTTTAATAAAAACAAGTTTAGATTTGTCCACCTGTCAGGTTTTGGAGACGCTTGCATCACCATATGGGGCATAAGAATAGGACGCGTGTTTGGATATAACCACACTTCATTATTATTGTTTATTAATGCATTTGCTGGAAATTAGAACTGAATTTAAAAATAGTTTTGTAACAAATCTTTGCACTTAAACAAAATTAACTATGTAGGCTAAGGGGCCGATCACACTGAATGTGCTTTTTTGCGCTGAGGCGCCTTTTTTGAATGATTTACTAACAGCAGCAAGCATTTTGCATGCTGCTCATGCAATCTTGCGTGCCTCGGGTTTTGACCCTTGCGCTGTGCGCTGGCAGTTGAAAAAAGTCAACTCTAAGTGGAAAAAAGCGTGATACATCACTCACATGTTTTTCATTCTCCACTCAAATGAAAGTAGAGGTGGGGTTTCCGTTGAGGTGCCTGCAGTGTTTGTGTTGTCAAGACAACTATGGAGACTTTTGAAGATGGAGGAGAGACTTGTGGTTGCTGTTTTGAGTTATCCAGAGCTGTATGACTTTTCAAATCTTGAATTTCACAATATTATTAAATAATAAAGTTATATTTATATCAACAGCAACACTCTCACAGAATACCAGCTGATTCAAATGTTGCCTAAAAACGTAAAAAATCCTACCACGCTTCTTTTTTCTTGTCAACAAAAAATGCAGTGTGGTGCGCCTCGTGTTTTTGGAACATAAATGCGCATTTAGGGTGATCGGCCCCTAAATGATGTATTCAGTGAAGTGCGTACAACACCGATTCCTTAACCACGAAAGTAAAGGAGTAAAGAGTATAAGTAAAGTAAAGAGAAAGTAAAGAAACTGAATGGAGGAAGCTCATTGTTTATCCTCGTTTTCTCGCCAGTGAAGCGTGCAGTTTTTCCACTTACAAAGTCCGCCATGTAAATAGCAAATGTGCCATGGCGCGACACAACTGACTCTTAAAGGGAATGGCAGATGAAACTCTGATTGGTTTACGTTTTGCTCAAAACACACCCATAACTCATTAAGAGAATAAGCAACCCTCTTAGACCATGTGCCAGTGTGCAAAGCATATTTTTCCATCTTTCAAATAGCAAAAGTGGATTCAGACACACTCTTAGGGCTCTATTTTGACGGTCAATGCGCAAAGCGCAAAACGCAGGGCGCAAATGCTTTCAGGGCGTGTCAGGACGCGTTTTTGCTAATTTAAGGACGGGAAATCTGCCTTGCGCTTCGGCGCATGCTAAAAGGGTTGAGTTTATTTTCTTAATGAGTTATAGGTGTGTTTTAAGAATAAACCAATTAGAGACTCATCTCCCATTCCCTTTAAGAGTCAGCTGCATCGTGCCAAGAGCGAATTCGCTATTTACAGGACGCAAAGTAAGTCTAAGTGGAAAAAATGAGCATTTCACAAGCAAATAGTTAACAGTTAACAGTTTTTTTTTAACAGAAAACTGTTAAACAGAGCATCTACTGCGTGAGAATGAGAGATAATGGATCACTTTCACTTTCGCTCTTGGATAGGGAAACTTTTACGCACAGACATCAATTAGTCTATAAATAAATACTTTTGTTTGTAAAGCTCAAATATTCGTTTCAAAACTATTTCTAAATTCAGTTCTAATTTCCAGCAAACGAATAAATGAATAATAATAGCAAAATGTGCTCAAAAACCTGAGTTATATCCTAAAACACATGCTTTGCCCCATATGGTCTAAAACCTGACAGGTGGGCAAATCTAAGCTTGTTTTTAATAAAACAAATATAAATATGGATATAATAAATAATACTGCTAATAATAATAACATTATACAAAAGCAAATTGTTATGAATGAACTGAAAAAGCCTCCCGAGATGAAGAAGACATAAAAGCAGTGGTTTTTCATATTTATGTAGGCTAGAAAATAATATGTTTTGTTATATTTTAATCCTTTATATTTATATCCTATATCTATTCTTATTATATACTATATATATCCTTAATATTTAAATTTTTTCATATGTAAAGATATTTTGCCTATTGCTCTCTTGTGCGTATTAAGCAGTGCGTAAGCGAGGCGCAACTCTGCGCTGGAGTTTAGACCGGGTTAGTTTTGGTCTAATGAAAAATCTATTATAGATTCTCAAAATAGCGATGCGCCAGCGGTCCGCCTCAGAATGCCTTCCTTTTTAGACCAGAACGCCTATGGGCGCAAAAATGAACGCTAATGCATTTGCTATTTAAACAGAGTAGCGCAACGCCTCAAAACGACTCTTGCGCCAAGCTTAAACTACCAAAAGACTACTGCGTCACGCCTTGCGCCACACTGCGCCGGGTGTATGATAGGGCCCCTAATGCTTTTGCGCCATGCCCTTTAGACTTTGTGCCTAGACCATTCAAATAGAGCCCTACATTTTTGCAAAACCACAAAGACATACTTAAACATGTTTGATTGCAGTTTTTGGTAAGAACACCATGGGGAAATATGACACCAACAACTTTTGCTTCTTTTTACACTAATGATATTTACCGAAACTTATAATCGACGAATAAAAGAATATTTTGTGCAGTTCTTTGCACAACACCAAACAAATACCACAAAACACTGACGTGATTTAATCTGTATAAAGATCTCTCTTCTTGTAGATGTGTACAATAAGGACGTGTATCTGAAACACAATAAAAAGTAGTCTAAGTAACATATTTCAGATTTACAAAAATTTATATAGCGCCTTCTAGTGGATTTGTCATCTGAAATGTGCATTGAAACATATTTCTAATAAGCCTGGGCTGGAACTATGCTGTTAAATCTTAATAATTTGCATATCTTTCATACCTCTTACAGCATCTGCAGACAACAGTGCAGGCGCTGCAGGCCGAGCTGCGTATCCAGCGTGACTTGAACCAGCTTCTCCAGCCGCCCGGGGAGCCTCTGGCCTGCGAACCCAGTGAGGAGCAGGAACGTCAGGCTCGAGAGCTCTTCTTGCTCCGCCGTACGCTGGAGGAGATGGAGCTGCGCATGGAGGCCCAGCGGCAGACGCTCGTTGCTCGCGATGACTCTGTCAAAAAGCTCCTGGAGATGTTGCACAGCAAGGGCCCGTCAGCTAAAGCCAGTGAAGAAGATCATGAGCGAACACGACGCCTGGCAGATGCAGAGATGCATGCGCACCACCTGGAGAACCTGCTAGAACAGCGGGATAAAGAGCTGGTGGCTCTCAGAGAGGTGTGTGACAACTGGAGATGAAACATACATTACAAAATATTACATTTATATCATATACAAGTAACAGTGTTTATTTGGTCTAAATTTAGCTTTGAAAAATATTGAACTCTTTAGCTTGAAATCCAAAATCCCTCTGTTATTTTTATATTTTTAGATGTTTTTCTTAGACTGTTCCTTAATTTTTGATATACATGTCAAAACAGAATATTAAAAGTCTGATTTATTTTGAGTTTTAGAAATCAACTATTTGACATACTTTTTGACAAAGTGAAGTTTATTCATAAACTAATTTCGAGAGGATCACGTGCTTATGATTGACACGGCTGGCCCAGAGTCAAGCTAATGTACGAACCACCAATCAGACTATTCCTAACCCAGTATAAATAACCAAATATCTTACCTTTAGTCATCTTTGTCTTGAAGAATCCCCCCTTCCACCCCTTCTCCTCCTCTTTTCAACAGGGCAGCACGACGGCCCAGTGGCTAGCACTGCGGCCTCACAGCAAAAAATGCCTCTGGCTCGGGTATCCACCCAACCGGACAGCATTTTTGTGTGGAGTTCATGTTCTCCCCGTGCTTGCGGAGATCTACCCAAGCTCAAACTCCCCTCTCGCCCTGCAACGGGAGGGAGCTCCGGGCTCGAGGATCTTATGAGCTCAGGGCTCTCTCCCGGGACAGCATGCCAAACTAGCTTATTACCAATCATTAGCTAAGTGTGAACTCTTAAAATGCAGTTTAGATGCTATTATAACAGAAACTAAATCAAACTATTGCCCAATTCATATACTATCCATCCTAAATAGTATTTGAAAATAGAATTAGTGTGTCCCAAACTATAGTTTGTTGAAAAGAGTATGCTAAATGTTTCCGGATATTTTGCTATTTCCAGTAAAAATTCAAAGTGCAGAACAGTCCGTACTCGAACTGCTAATACATAATGCTAATACTAACGAAAATACATTGCGCGTTGGATGTGAATTTGATTAGAACTACAAAGTATGGAAAAACGTGTAAATAAACTACAAACACGGCGGACACACGAGATCAAAGTCAAGTCAAGAGGCTTCGGTAAATTTGTTTAAATGACTATTAATTAATATCTAACTAACCGGAAAATATTTAAATCACATTTTCTGCGGGCGACGCAAAGCACGTTCGCCTCACAGCAAGAAGGTCGCTGGGTCGCTGATTCGATCCTCGGCTCAGTTGGCGTTTCTGTGTGGAGTTTGCATGTTCTCCCTGCGTTCGCGTGGGTTTCCTCCGGGTGCTCCGGTTTCCCCCACAGTCTAAAAACATGCGGTACAGGTGAATTGGGTAGGCTTAATTGTCCGTAGTGTATGAGTGTGTGTGTGTGTATGTGTGGATGTTTCCCAGAGATGGGTTGCGGCTGGAAGGGCATCCGCTGCGTAAAAACTTGCTGGATAAGTTGGCGGTTCATTCCGCCATGGCGACCCCAGATTAATAAAGGGACTAAGCCGACAAGAAAATGAATGAATGAATGAACATTTTCCGTGTTATATTTCAACTGCAAGAACTATATGAACTTGTTTAATGACTTATTTGGAAGATGACTTGTAAAAGCTTATTTATCCAAAGACCTGATGAGATTTCTATGCATGAAAGTATCACAAATGACAGATTAATCTGCTGCTGCTGAATCCCCAATATAGTAGGTAAATAAATATGACAGAAATGTGGATGATGTGTCGAGATGTTTGACAGGAGACATAACTAAGCAACATAACAATAGCGAGGAAGTAGTATTATATTATTATATGCATGTCCTACACAAAAGAGTACATACTTTTAGGGGGTAGTATAAGTATGAAAAATGGGACACTGCATATGTAAATTACTTGTAATTATTTTATGTAAATTTATGAAACTAAATAAAGAGAGCACGAATATCTGGTTTTGGCAGGAGCACTTTTAGCTTAGCGTAGCATAGATTATTGAATCAGAGTAGACCATTAGCATCTCGCACAAACTTAAAAAAAAAAAATAATTTTATGTATTTGGTCTTAGAGGACGATGTAAATACAGAAATGTCAAGCTTTAAATAGAAAAATGATCTAAACTTTGAACAAGATGCTAATGGTCTAATCTGATTGAGTTATTTTTGCTAAACTAAGCTAAAAGATTACTCATCAGACCCGGTGATTGGCTGAATAGTTTAAAAAATGATTGAATTAAAACTCAACTGTTTAACTTGTAAAATGAGCCTATTTGCACAAAAGTGAGGCGTTCCTTTACATATAAGAAAAAACAATAGAAAGAAATGTCTAATTCTCATTTAGTTTAATCTGATGTGCTAAAACAATTGAAAACTGTTTAAAGGTGGTAATAATTTGGCAAAGATTTAGTTACTCATTACTCTCTAGTGTCTAATGTAGTTTTTAAATGTTCTGATTACATTTTTATTTGAGAAACTAGCTTTTTAAATTTACATATATATTTATATAAAATACAATCTAATAAATGAGAATCTAAAGTGTATTTTGGAATAATATAGTTTAGATTGAATAACATGGTTGACAAACCTCATACAAAATGGATGACAAATAAAGCCACTCATACAATATTAACTACATGCTTCTGAAGATGACGACCAGGTTTTCTGAAGGTTAAGCACCTCCTTTCTCAGGAAAAGTACAAATAAATGAAATATTAAATATCTAAAATATCTGTAGTGAATGAACAACATCACAACATCCTGTCACACAATAAAGGCATCTGCTCTCTTTAAAGCGTAAAAATTAGGATTTGTAATCGAACTAGATAGCAGAACACATTTGCACTCGAAAGCAGCTTCTGCAGTGTGATAGACACAGGCAAAAGCAAAAAAACAAACAGACAAAAAAACGCTGCCCTCCCTTAAGGTATGATGGCGTATCTGAGAGCTCTATTTCTGGTACTGGTGTGAAGGAAGTGGCAAACATGTGTGTTAAATTGCAGGAGCTGCACCGCCGCCTCGAGGGGACGCCAGAGACCACCAAAACAAAAGCTCTTCAGACTGTCATTGAGATGAAGGTAATACTTTAGCCCCTGTTTTAATACTGTTTATGTATACTGTTTGCTTATGTTTTGTCTGGCAGGGAGGGAAAATAACGTTCTGTCTTCACTGATCAAAATAAACTACAGTCCCATGAAACATTGTGAACGATCCAATCAAATCAAAAAGATTCATGGGAGTGGGCGGAGCTAAAGATCTAATTTGGCACAATTTTCTTTATATGACTTCAATTGGTTTATTTTTCATCAAAAGTATATATAATTGATTAGCATTGTAAAAGCAATGGGTGAGTTTTTCGAGGTTTATCTGTTTCCCTTTGAAGAAAATCAATGAAGTTTTGTTTATGCAACTCGACTGTCGCTCTCTGTTTAGGCTATTAAAGGGATAGTTCACCCAAAAATGAAAATTCACTGACCATTCACTCACACTCAAGCAGTTCTACATTTTTAGTAAGGAAATGTGCACACAGAATGCGATTTTTTCTTTCCAATGCGCTACTTTTCTATTGTTTTCTAATGTAAACATGCGTGTTTGACTGTTACATTAACATCATTCGCGCCACACACAATCTTTAACTTTCACACGCAGCACAGCTCATCACAGTCAGCTCTAAAAGCAGAAGAGCTGACCATTCAGAAGAGCTTTGAGGTGGGGCAAGCTTCTGTTTATAGTAGAAAGTTGCCATGACCACTGTTTTTTTTTTTTTTTACTGTTATAGACCTTTTTCTTCGTTGTTGCATGGAGGGCGCCATAGTGACCAGCGCCTTCCGGTAGGGTGCTCAGAACTTTCGTTAAGAATTGTCATCAGCCAGAGCAGCATTTCTCAACTTGGTGTCAAAACTGTTTTAAGTGTTTTTGTGATGCAAAACTAATTTTGAAAGAAAGACGTGGGTTAAAACAGTTATACTTCTGTCAGATGCGCTTCAAGTATAAGAGAAAAATGCTCTCCTAATTCAGTGTCTGCCATCAGATCAGATGCTAAAATACAGCTTCACTGTTCCCGACCTGTCAGCAGTTATACTATACTCTGTGGCTCTTCAATACACACACACACACACGCATGCACACACACGCACATACAATACCTAATTGCATTATAAAGAACAAACCATAATACTGGCATTAAACTTAAGTCTGTAACTAATACTCTAATGGCAAATTTGCATGTCAATTTTAATCGGGAGCCGTTTATGTTACTTTTAGTTAGTTTTGTGTAGCATTTACCATGGTTTGTGTTTTTCTGTCATTTCAAAATGCCACTTTATTTTCACTTTGTGACACTTATTCAATCATTGTGGTAGTGGGACAGTAGGCTACGTGTGTGTGTCAAACATTTTAGTGAAGTATACTTGTTTGGGTTGGTTATATGTTTGAAAGAAAGAGAAAATGATCACATTAGCAATGACGAGACTCTATTTAAATGGCACAAGATGCCGTCTGACGATGAGGGAAAAATGCCTCACAGCAGTTGTTTTCCATCCCATTAGTTCGCATATTTTAAATAATCAGTCCAGGAGGTGGTTCTGATCGACAGTTCAAAGACGTTAAAAGCACATAAGATAGATTAAAGCCCTATCCCAATTCTATTTTTGTACCCCTTCCCCTTACCCCTGGCCCTTAAAACTAAGTGTGAAGGGGAAGGGTTTCAAAATTTACCCCCCAAAAAAATGGGACAGCACTACAACACCTGCACACGTCATCATATCTCTTGCTTCATATGAGTTTGACGATCGCGACTGCTGTAGTTATTCCAGTTACATTTTTTTTTGGTATTTATCTTAAGGAAATAACTGAAGGCAACAATATTATGTTATCATAACGATATAATGTGACAATAAGATCGTAACTTTAGTGCGCATTTACACAGTGGCGATATTATTTTGTGTAAACACACCAAAAACAACATTAACATTGTAGTAGACAATGTAAAAAAAGCCCATTCGCAGCTACTAGACTGTTTTTGACAGGGTATTCAAGTGTCATCGAGTGTCAGAATGTTGTGGGACTGCTGTACAGGAGTTATTATTATGGATTATAGATAGCGAAATTTAGTGTTTTTCATTTTAGCGTTTTTTTAAGCAAGACAGTAAAACACGAACGTGGTTATGAATATATTTGGTTTTGAGTATGGTCCTGAAAAATATCTGTTCGAAGGGCTTATCTACCTTTTCCTCTTAGCCCTACGCCTTCAAGCTGAAGAGAATTGGGAAGGGCTAAGGAGTAGAATTGGGATTGGGCCTAAAACTATCATTTCAAAGCTGTCTGAATTTGAAAGTTCTTAGCATCCTCCTTGCGCATACACGCAAAGCCTTATGGGTAATTTTGCGTTCTAAGAAAAAGATCTACAGTATACCATGGCAGAGGAGGCGCTCATTGTGGCTTTGTCCAAATTATCCTTGGTTGTATGTTGTATCTTCATGTGCTTATCATAACATTCATTTATTTTTTTATTGGCTTAGTCCTTTTATTAATCAGGGGTCGCCACAGTGGAATGAACCGCCAACTTATCCAGCAAATGTTTTATGCAGTGAATGCCCTTGCAGCTGCAACCCATCCCTGGGAAACACCCATACACTCTCTTTCACAAACATACACTACAGACAATTTAGCTTTCCCATTTCCCCTGTAGCGCATGTCTATGGACTTGTGGGGGAAACCCAGAGGAAACCCACGTGGACACAGGGAGAACATACAGAAATGCCAACTGACCCAGCTGAGGCTCGAACCAGTGACCTTCTTGCTGTGAAGTGACATTGCTACCCACTGTGCCACCGAGCCACCCCCTTATCATAACATATTGTTTTTCATTTCTAATAGGTCTGTCATTGTCGCCATGCATTTTAGAATTCTAAACGCAGATTTCTATTGGGGTATGCACACGGGACCCCAAATAGGCGGCTGTTTGCGGCACCCAGCTACGACTCTTCATATTTCTGTTGCACCACAGAGTGACATCTGAATAGTTTCATATTAAATAACATGTGAATGTGCGAGTCCGGTGTGCATTACTTTTTACTATCATATACGCGGCATGGTGGTTAGCCCATGGTAACATTTGATTTGGCCCGCCATCCCATCTGAAAAGAGAGGGGGAATGATGGGGAGGTGGTTGGGGCGAATGCCTTTGATGGAAATCAGCATTTCAAATTTAATGTAAACTTTAGGTTCTTTTTATATTGAGGAGCCACAACTACAATTAAATGTTTCAATTAAATGTTGTAAATAAATCAGACTTTTAAAACGTAAATATTGTCAGTTGACAGATGCACAAGGCATCGGCGAGCAAATCAAGGCAAAGGCAGGAGCAGCTCAACTGCTGTAATCAGCATTGAACTCCATTGTTCTATAAATGGGATTGTTTATGTTTTTACTGTATTATGTTCATTATAAAATGCCTAAAATGATACTGCTAAAAACTTTACTATGTTTTAAAGAAACATTTTTTTTAGTTATTTTTAAATATTAGCATATTACCCATGCCATAAATTTGTCATATTTCCCATGGCGAATTTAATGTCATACTGTTTCGTACATTAAGCTTTGGCCCACAGTCCTCAGTCCAGTTTGGTTTTTGGTGCTTTATAAGAAAAAGTTTGGGCACCCCTGATCTCAAGGCTGTTGGAAAAAAACAACAACTGTTGACATCCATAATACATTTAACTCAAAATGGAAATACAATTGCTGCTTTTCCCAACATTCTTCAGTATATCTTCATTTGTGAAGATCAAAAACCACTCAAAAAGGTTTGTGGAGGATGAGTAAATGATGATAGAATTTACATTTTGTATGAACTATCCTTTTAACGTTAATGCTTACTTTTTGAAGCGGTTTATTCCGCTGTGGCGACCCCTTATTAATCAGGGACGAAGCCGAAGGAAAATGAATGAATGCATGCTTAATTTTGATGATGAATGAAACCACATTTTTTGAGTGCATGTTTTAAGAATGGCCTGATTGTAATGTTTATAAGGGTTTATATCCACCAAAGAGTGTTTTCCCAAAGTGTCCGTCCAATGAAGTGAGCATATTTTTTTCAGCTGTTGTCAATGAATATGGCCTGTTTTTTCTACACCTGCAGTGTGGCAAAGCTCTGAACATCCGCTTTAGGCGTTTTTTTTTTTTTTTTTCTTTAAGAGTTTTGGAAGAGCGCTTGCTTCGGTGGACACATACCTTAATACTTAATTTCATAAAAAAGTCATTGTAGTATAAACTTATAATAATCAAATGAACTGACTTGAATAGTTCCCATTTGACTCAAACAAATAGGACTTGGTACATCTTTACATTTTCCGGATCATGTAATACGAACACACAAAAAAGTATATAATTTTGCCAATAGTTCTAGGAACTATGAAAAAGTTCCCCTGGCTCAAAAGTCCCTTAGATGGAAAAAATAAGGTCTTCCATCAATTTCCTAATTCTCTGGAAACAACTTTCATTGATCTGGGCTGGCCTGAGGTTAAATAAATAGCTACAAAATTTAAATTCCTACCAAGTTCCTATCATTGTGAAGCCAAATTGAGACACCGGTGTTGTTCATTATTGACATTAAAGCTGGCGTGACTCATTTTGACGTGTCTCTCAGGATTCTCAGATCGGTTCTCTGGAGCGGGGCCTTAGAGAGTTGGAGGACCAGGTGATGATGCTTCGCTCCAGCAGCATGTTGAGCTGTGAAGAGCGGCAGGAGGAAGCCAAGCAGATGGAAGTCTATCGCAACCACACCAAGTTCATGAAGAACAAGGTATTGCGCTCTCTGCTTTAAAATAACACATCAAGATTCTGCCATTTCCTCCTGGTTTAAACGTGTTTTTGGTGATCGGAACACAAATGGTCAGAAGAAACGCATTATTGTATGTCTCCCGTTGTTTGCTGAGAGATCACTTCTTTTTTTTTTTTTGAAGTTCATGTTTTATCTAATTTAAAAAGTTCAGCAAGGGAAACAATGATCCTCATAACTAAAAAAAAATGGATGTAGTCAGGAGTTTGTGTACTCTCCCTGTCCTGCCTCTTTACTTTATAATCTTTTGTTTATATTTTGTAAAATAATTTCAGCTTAGGAGTTGGTAGACAATTCTTTTTTCTGGATTAAACATCTTGGTGCGAAGACCAAACCTTTATGGTAGTTTGGACAAGTTTGGTTTTGGCCTTTAACAGTCTTTTTTTGACAAATGAAACATATCATATTGTCTAGTGCAGTGTTTCTCAACCCTGTTCCTGAAGGCACACCAACAGTACCCATTTTCAACCACCTCCTAATCAAACACACCTGAATCAACTCATCAGAACAATAGAAGAGACTCCAAAACCTGAAATTAATAGGCAGGAAAGGGAGTCACCCAAAATATGTACTGTTGGTGTGCCTCCAGGAACAGGGTTTGGAAACAATGGTTTAGTGTATAGAAAAATGATTATATAATTAAATCAAGTTGTTTATTGGAGAAAGATGCAACTGGATCTGTAGATTTCACAAATTAATTCACCAATTTAACAGGTTAACTGACAAGATTCAGCCTGGACACCGTTATCACATCTCAATTAACATTTTCTTCACTTCAAAATATATTTGTGATGTGTGGGAGAATAAAAAGTACAATATTTTGTTTTGGAACGTTATTAGGTAAAAGTTTCCTAAAATAAAAATACTCTGATGAGGACAGATTATAATGTGAGGAATAATTGACTTTGAGCCATTGTTTGATTATTAGTAAAGGTGTTGACGCAGCGATGGAGCAAAGTCAAGCCAGTGTGTATTAAGTTCTAATAATTCAAGATATTTGTCAATTTTTTATCCTTTACCTGCTCCTGTGCATTGTACTATGTTCTTAAACATCTCATCCAAAGCCTTCTTTTTTGTTTTGTTTTGATTTTTGACAGTTGTAGGCCACGAGTTTTCATGAGACTATTATGACATGTTTAATGGTCATCATAATCTTAAATCCTTAGAGGTTTTTAATATTTAGATTTTTTTTTTTAAAAAGTATGAACATTTATATGTATATGTATTACATAATCTTTGAATCAAATTACAAAAAACTAATTACTGCTTATGTGAGACGATGCAGAGTGTATGGGCAGGACAGTAAATTTGACGTTGTTCTCTCTTCTAGGTGCTGTTATCAGTCTCACACAATTATTTTCTTTTTTTCTAAAAGTCTTGATGACACCATCGTCGAGTTTTTCTTTTATTATTTCTGCAAATAATTGTCAAAAATATTTGTTGTACTTTCCCATTCACTGCTCTCTTGGTTTGAATGGGAAACCAAGAGAGCAGTTGTACTTTTTATTCTCCCACACATTTCTCCTGCTACTGAGAAACCCAGAAATATGAAAAGGGTCCATAGTCACATCGCATGATCTGCAATGTTGAGGTGGGATTATAATAACCAGCCACTATAGTTCAGAACATGTGATTTGTGGGGTAACAGCAAAATCTGAACCCTAACAGAGTTAAAGATTTTCATTTGGATGTGATTTTAAGGTCTGCGACTATGTAAGATTTCAAGCGAATTTAAAGCAAATAGTTATAGCTTTAACTTTAAATTTAAGCTTTAACAAGGATTAATTGTATTTAATTATTTATACAATGAAGACTATACAGGGCTATTTTACATATGATTATTTAACTTATTAAAGCAGAAGTGAAGTAAATGTATTATCTACTTGTAATGTGGTCAAAACCTACCTGGTACTTTAGCCCTGTGGTTCCTTAAAACAATCGGATACCTTAGAATGTTTTTCAGCCGACCAAAAAACAACCATTGAATACCCACAGTATAAATGTTCTTAAGTACCAGTAGTGAAGTAAAAATCCTGTCCCCAATACCTCATAAGAGTTTAAACTATGAAAGCAGCCCACACTAATGCCCTTTGACAACCTTAGGAAGTGACTGAAAGTAGACAAGCTCGTGACATTTGACAGTCATTCACATTTACAATTTAACGTCACCCATTTCGATCAGATTGACTTAAATGCATCTTAATATCAGGTGCAATTGTTTCACATACTGTAAATACAGTATAACAGTGTTTCTCAACTGGTGGGTCGCGATCCAAAAGTGGGTCACTGGAACATTTTCAGTGGGTTGCGACACTCCCAAGAGTGTGTGGTCAGAACAACAACAAAAAATGCGTGCACGAAAACCCTACCTTTTGACATGTGAAATTTCATTTAATTATAGCAAAAGATATGTCAAAGCGCAAATATGACCCTGAATATGTAAAGTATGGATTTACATATATTGACAGCAAAAAAGACTTAAAGCCTCAGTGTGTCTTAAGTAGCGAGGTGCTCTCACAAGAGAGCATGAAACCGTCTAAATTAAAACGACTTTTATCAAACAGAGTGTTTTATTACCAGTTTAATGGCAACTGAACCTATCCTTACCCTAACCACTGTTTAGACTTAGACTTAGACTTAGACTTAGAAAACTTTATTGATCCCGCAGGAAATTGCTTATGTAATGACTGCCATAACACACAAAACACAGAAACACAAAACCACAAGACAAAATAAATAAATTAAATAAGTGAAATAAGTCACATAAATCCAACCAATCTATAAAAGGAAACAGCCACAATACATAAGTATACAAACTATTATATAAGATATCACACTTAAAAGAATCAGTGGTAACTAATACTATTAAGTCATATATCAAGTAATGAAGATAATATTAACCAAAACCAATAATATTACACATAAAACAATTACACATAAAATATTTCAAGTAGTAAAGTGATTCAGCACTCATTTAAAAAACAATGATATTGCACTAAAAATATTTAAGACCCAGTAAAAAAATTTACAAATATTGCACCTAGTAGATCATTGCACATCATAAAACATAATGCACAGACTTCCACACACTAAAACCCGTAATAAGTAATATATGGCACGAGCAGCAAGGTATAGCATAGATTACTGTAAGGGTAAGTGACTGAGGGAGACGTTATGAAGTCTGATACCAGTGGGAAGGAAGGATTTTCTGTGGCGTTCAGTGGAACACTTTAAGCTGGTAAGTCTGTGACTAAAGGTACTTCTCAGCTCGTCAACCACATTATGAAGAGGATGATCTACATTGTGCATAATTGACTGAAGTCTAAAAGTATTTGTTATTTTTACTTTGTAATATTTCTATAATTTGATACATTTTGTTAAATGACAGCAATAAAATATTGTTTATTTGTAAGTCTTGGTGATTTTCTTATGATTTATCTGTCACTACTTGTGTATGTTAACAAATAAATACAAATTAAGTATAATTGCTAAAATTGTATTATAGTTCCTAAAAATTTAGGTCGCGGACTAAAGACCATGTAAAAATGTGGGTCCCATGGCCAAACCAGTTGAGAACCACTACAGTATAACAACGAACTTCTTCTGTTTTGTAGATGGACCAAGTTAAGCAAGACCTTTCCAGAAAAGACACCCAGCTTCTTGGCTTGCAGACCAAGTTGGAAACCCTGACTAACCAGTTTTCTGACAGCAAACAGCATATTGAAGTGCTCAAAGAGTCTCTAACTGCCAAAGAGCAACGGGCTGCTATTCTGCAGACAGAGGTAATAGATCTCACCGGTGGTTAGTCTTCGCCCATCGGACCATCAGATTCCCTGATCTCTGACATTGTTTTGCAGGTGGATGCTCTGAGGTTGCGTCTGGAGGAGAAGGAGACCACGTTAAACAAAAAGAGTAAGCAGATTCAAGAAATGTCTGAAGAAAAAAGCACACTCAATGGGGAAATACATGATCTGAAGGACATGCTGGATGTCAAGGAGCGTAAAGTCAACGTGCTCCAGAAAAAAGTGAGGACTGCTTTTTTTAAAAGTCTGTTTAAAAAGTTTTTCATCACCTTGTGATAAAGTCAGCTTGATCCAGAAGTTGTTGAGACATCAGTTTGTTGATGTACAAAAAACTGAATATTGAGTAGAGATGGGGCTTTCTTGTGCTTATAATTTTGTCATAGCAAACTAACGGTAACGGGCGTGGTTAAGAATATTATGAATGAAGCTGTCAAACTGACGTCAACAGAGAAGGACCTCCACTCCAAATGCAGGAGCAAATAGTCAGACTTTGATTCATTAGCTATGACAGATTAACATTTTGTGCTAGCAAAAAAAACATTGTTAATTTTGATTTCATCAATCATTCATCCATCTATCTATTATTTGCTGCTTATCCGGAGGTGGGTCACAGGGGCAAAAGTCTCAGGAGAGAACCCCAGACACATCCTCCAGTTCCTCTGGGGTGAATCTAAGGCGTCATGTGTCTTCCTCGGGGCTTCCTCTTGGTGGGACGTGTCCAGAACACCTCCCTAGGTAGGCATCCATGAAGCATCTGAAATAGATGCCAGAGGAACCTCAACTAGCTTCTCTCGATATGGAGGAGCAGTGGTTCTACTCTGTGATCCTTACGGGTGACAGAGCTCCTCAGGAGCTTACTCTAATCTATCTCAATCTTTAAGGGTACACCCTGCCACCCTGCAAAGAAAAGTCATTTCGGCCACTTGTATCCGAGATCTTGTCCTTTAAATCACGACCATCGGTGAGAGTGGAAACTTAGATTGACCAGTATATTGAAAGCTTTGCCTTTTGACTCAGCTCTTTCTTTACCACAACAGATCAGAGGTGATACTATCTCTACTCAGTACTGTTCAACATTCTGCACAAGCTCTGGGTCCTTCACTCACATTAAGGTGACATTCCATGTCCCAAAAGCCAACTTCTGTGTTATCGCGTCCAGAACTTTAACCACCAACTGTGCCAAAATGCCCCAGCCCCTTTTGGCTCCTCCTGGAGGATGTGCTTTCAGGAGGTGGGCTTTCAGGAGGATGGCCCCATGTCGGTTCTTCGGGCTGAGCCAAGCCAGGTTCTTTGGGAAAAAAACAGCCACCACAAATGCTTGCATATGAGCCTCAACTTCAGGCCTGGCTCCAGGGTAGGGCCCCGGCTGTGCCATACCAGGCGACGTCATGGTCCTTGATTTCATTTGACTCATAAATCAACCACACTTAGTCTGACCTTTCACCTAGAACATTTTCGCCTTGGAAAAAAGGAAGAAAATTGAGAAATTCTTTTTAAAAGAATTTTGACAAAACTGTGTGTCTGTATATATACATACAGCTATGGAAAAAAATTAAGAGACGACTGTATTGTAAATTCAGTTCCTATGAATTTGCAATACTTTTGGTATACGGATTGAGTGAAATGGAAACGGAGTTTGCATGTTCTCCCTGCCTTCGTGTGGGTTTCCTCCGGGTGCTCCGGTTTCCCCCACAGTCCAAAGACATGTGGTACAGGTGAATTGGGTAGACTAAATTGTCCGTAGTGTATGAGTGTGTGTGTGTGTGAATGTGTGTATGGATGTTTCCCAGAGATAGGTTGCCGCCGGAAGGGCATCCACTGCGTAAAAACTTGCTGGATAAGTTGCCGGTTCATTTCGCTGTGACGACCCCGGATTAATAAAGGGACTAAGCCGACAAGAAAATGAATGAATGAATGAATGAAATGAAAACAAAAATTCTGAAAAGGACTAACAACAACTATTACAAATTAAAAAAAATACAGAAATCTAGATAATTGTTTTCTTGGAAATTACAATTGTTTAATATAAATGTTTTTTAATTGTTGTGATTGAAAATTTGTAATGTTTAAACATGTAACATTCAAGTGTGGGTTAAATATTGAGGCATCAGTGGGGCAAAATAGGGTCAGATGCTTTGAGATAAGCTGTGACATTATAGCTTTTTTTGAGTAAGAGTAAATTCAAAATACTTTTAGACAATTAAAACGTCACTTTAATGTTACCAATCTCATTTTAACCGATGTGTTTCAGATTGAAAACTTGCAGGAGCAGCTGAGGGATAAAGAGAAACAGATGAGCAGTCTGAGAGAGAGGGTTAAATCCTTACAGACGGACACCTCTAATACAGACACTGCCCTGACCACACTGGAGGACTCACTGGCTGAGAAGGTGAGGAGCTCCTCTAGAGGACGCTCTAACACAGTGCTTCCCAACCTGGGGCTCACCAATGATTTATGACAGGGGGTCACTAAATTCACTGTAGTTTGTGGGTTAAAAGTAAAGAAGTGTAAACTAAGTTCTGAGGGAAATGATATGAATGAATTCAGACCATAGACTTGTTCATATCAATGCATAGTTTGACTAAATATTAAACCAAAATAACAATAATGTGTGCTCTAAACACATGAAAATATAAAACTTTTTTTTTTTAAAAAGTCAGTACAAAGATATTTATAAAATGGGTTGTAAATATTGTGAATGTTTTTCTGTTTATTGTTATGTGTTTCCAAAATAATAATGTTTTTTGGGGGAAATTATTCGGTTATGACTGTTTTCAAAACTGTCACATATGCGTAGTTTGAAGTATGTTTGAACTGTCGTTGGTCATGTCACTGTAGTTCAGGTGTAGTTGCAATGATTTTACAGAGCGGCTAATCAGCTAACCTCCATCCAGAGATGGCAAAAGTACACACATTCTTTACTCAAATAAAAGTACAGATACTCACGACTCTGGTAAAAGTTGAAGTACTAATAACAATTTTGTACTTGTGTAAAAGTAAAGAAGTACAACCTCAAAAATGTATTTAATAAAAAGTACCCATTACTACTACATGTTTAAGGGGTACTAGGTAGGTAAATATCCGGTTTCCCCCACAGTCCAAATACAAGCAGTATGGGTGATTAGGTAAACAAAATGGGCTGTTGTGTGTGTAATTCTATTAGTGGTCACACTTTACAATAAGATTTATTAGTTAATGTTAACTAATGCATTTACTAACATGAACAAACAATGAACAATAAATCTACTACTTTATTTGTTCATGTTAGTTAATATTAGTTAATGAAAATACAGTTGTTCATTGTTAGTTCATGTTAACTCATGGTGCATTAACTAATGTTAAAAAGCATGGACTAGGATGTTAATAATGCATAAGTAAATGTTCAATTATGGTTAATAAATGCTATACATGCGTTGTTCATGATTAGTTCATGTTAGTAAATGCATTAACTAATGAACCTTATTGTAAAGTGTTACCCTATTAATACATTTATTTTATGCTAAAAGCAACATTCACAGCGGTGACTACAACCTACAAAACATGGTCATGAATTTTTTTCACGTGATAAATTCAGGATCTTTTGCATTATAATTGTATTCATAAATCATATAATAAATAAAACAAAAATTTAAAAAGCGTAAATTCTGTATTGGGAATTATAAACTCATCATAAATAAAATAAATAAATCGCAATGCATAAAATTTTTAAAAAGTGTTTGATTGTTTTAGAACTAAATGTACAAATCTTTACAAAAAAGCACTTTTCCCGAAAGTGGCAGCTTTTAACTAATGTAATCTGATTCAATATTTTATGCTAAACTAAGCTAAAAGTGGTCCCACCATACAGGAATATAGGCTGAATAGATAAAAAAAAATGTTGTAACTCATTAAAAAATCACTATTGGACTTTTTGGCTGTGCAAGATTCACTTGTTTTGTTGTTTCTATTAGAATAGCATGTACAGGCTGCGCCCTCTTCTTGGAAGCAGCAGCTCATTTGCATTTAAAGAGACGTGCATAAAGACAGTAGCTGGGTCCCAAATCGCATACTTATGCACTATTCTACGCCATTTTATAGTATAAATAGTGTAAGTAGTGTCACAATGAAAACTCAAAAAATAATAAGTAGACTTTTATTACCCGGATAATGCACTCATTCAGCTGGTAAAATAAAGTGTGTAATGATGGACACTTCATACACTCAACAACCACAGGTTTGCTCACGTAGTGGAAGGGGCGGAGCTATCGGGCGCACATGTTGGATAACTTTATTTATTTTGGATGGTGAAAGCAAAATTCTCCAACGAGAGTGATTATAGCGCCTCCTGAGGGTTAATGCGGTTATACTCATGGCAGGTATTATTTGATAATTCGGTCGTTTATTTCACGTTTATTCGTTTATTTCGTTTATTTCTGATTAGTAAAAAGACATTAGTGTTCCATTTGGGACGACACTACATACATATACTATCCTGTTGAGTGTGTAAGTGCATAAGTGCATAGTGTATAGTGTGGCATTTGGGACGCAGCTAGTGTGTTTTCTAGGAACACCAGAGATGTATTTTGCATCTTTTGAAAAGGGGCATAATTAAAATGGAGGTCTCCTGAAAAAAAGGTTGGGAAACACTGCTCTAGATGACCAGACTTTAGAACAAAACACTGGTGCTCCTCCAAATGGTAACTGTCTGGAGTTGAAACATCTGTGCTTGGTTATAAACACTTGATGCTCCTTGTATATGCTGTCTTTTTGGCACCGTGTTAATGTGAGCACTTCTCAACAGGAACGTATTATTGAGCGTCTGAAGGAGCAACGTGACCGTGAGGAGCGAGAGAAAGCCGAAGAGCTGGACACCAGTAAAAAAGAGCTGAAGGAGTTAAAGGAGAAAGTCAGTCTGCTGCAGGGAGACCTGTCAGACCGTGAGGTACTGAAAAATCACAGGAAAACACCATTCAATTTAAATTTTTCTAATCATTATTGATGCAGTACTTATGAAATGTGTGCAAAAAAAAAAAAAAAAACACAATACAAAAGAATTCAGGCAAACTATTATTTTAATATTTGTCAGATCAAATTGCATAAGAAATCAGATCACCCAACTAGCAAATGGATTTTCGTATTAATCTAACAACGTCTAGTGAGGTTTATATTTAAAAAATATTAAATAGTAAGATTGAAAAAAAAGGTTACTTAATTGAAGATACAAGATTCATTTTACTTAATTACTAATTAATTACTTTGACAAATTGATAAATAAATCTGCTCATAAGGGGATGTAAGGTGGTCAACCTTGAAACATGCCATATTTTACATGGCATATTTAAAATATTTTTGCCACACAAAATGTTAGCATAGGTTTATTCTGAGAACAAAGCCCTATATACATTTCTGGAGGTTGCAAATTATGTAGCCAGAGGAACGTATGGCTGCATTTCATCTTTAAAAGGAAAGCTACGGGGCAGTATGACGCCGTTTCTTTAACGGCTCACCGTTTAAAGGCTTTAACGGCTCACCGCTTACTTTTGTATGGACAGCTTTCCCGCTGTAAAAATCAGGCAAGGGCTTTTCTCGAATACTTTTTTAAACTGTCGGTTGGGTTTAGGGAAGTGGGTGGGTGGGTCAATAGGTGCTTTTTAAAAACACTATTGGTTGGGTTTAGGGAGGAAAGAGGGCAGGTCATTCGTTAATAGTATTTTGGCTGCAGCACTTAAAAAAATTTTGCAAAAAACTTTACAAATTTTTTTTTCCCAAAATAAAAGATTTTTTATTATTTTCAAACACATTTATCTAATTTTTGAGTGGGATGCTAATCATCTGATTTAATTCAAAGATCTATGCTAAGCTAAAAGTGCTAATGTCAGATCCAGAGATCATCTGAATCTATTTAAAAATGGTAAAACTGGCAAATATATTTTAATATTAATCTAGCAAAATATAGTGATGTTCATATTTAAAAAGTATAAAATATTTAAAGTAAGAATACAATTTTTTTAACTTAATTGAAGTTAATTGAACTTAATTTTCAGAATATCTTCCACAATATGACATTTATTCCAAATATGGATTTATTTAATGTGAGTAAAAAAATTACTAAATGACAAATTGAAAAAAAAATCTGTTGATTAGAGGGTGTAAAGTGGTTAACCTTGAAACAAACACAAACATTTTAAGGTAAATAATTATTATTTTTAATTGTTTTCAAATAGATTTACTTCAAATTTTTGCAAATTTGCAAAAGAATTTAAAACAAATAATAATATTTTTGCTGCAGAACTTATTAAATTTGTGCAAAAAACATTACAATATTTTTTTTTCATTTTTAATGACGATAGAGTCAGGACCTCGGTTTAACGTCTCATCCGAAAGACAGCACTTACTGAGCAGTAAAGAGTCCCCGTCACTATACTGGGGCATTAGGACCCACACAGACCGCAAGTTGGGCGCCCCTGCTGGCCTCATTAACACCACTTCCGGCAGCAACCTAGCTTTCCCATTGTGGTCTCCCATCCAGGTACTGGCCGGGAGACCACAAGGGGTTTTAATTGCATTTTCAGAATGTCTTCCACAATATTTAATTTAATTGAAAAAGAAATCTGCTCATTACGTGATGTAATCAACCTTAAAACAAGCACATATCCTACATGACATAAGAGTGTCTGTCAGAACAGATAAACCACCAAGCCTCGACCTTATAAAGGTACATATTTACTAAAAGTGTTTGTTAGTTATATACCTGCGACCTCAATGCTGTTTGTTTCCAGACTTCTCTGCTGGACCTGAAAGAGCATGCGTCGTCCCTGGCCTCGTCTGGCCTGAAGAAAGACTCCAAACTGAAGAGTCTAGAGATCGCCCTTGAGCAGAGGAGAGAGGAGTGCAGTAAACTGGAGAACCAACTCAAGAAGGTGAGCCACAGCATAGAAATAAAATTATTACCAGTTTTGCTACGCTTTAAAATATTTAATTGGCTAGATGTAGTTTTTTTTGTTAAGTGTGTATGGACAAGGAAAAAAACCGCAGAATACATTATTGAAACATTATTGTAGCCATTGTTCCATCAAAAGAGCTATAATCATTTATGGATTTCTCACTCTGGTTCGAACCTCTTCATGCCAATAACTCTTTCCTCTTTACAAAACACACACAAATATGCTTTTAAAGGGATAGTTCGCCCAGAACTGGAAATACTGTCATCATTTTCTCACTTGTTCCAAATCTGTTCGAGAACACAAAAAAAAGAGCTGTAATCATTGACTTCCATAAAAAAAGTCAATGGTTATAGGTTTCCAGCTGTTTTCAAAATATATTCGTTTGTGTTCAACAGAAAAAAGAAACGCATAAATGTTTGAAACAATTAAAGAATGAGTAAATAATGACAGAATTTGTATTTTTGGGTGAAATACTGTATTTGGTTTGAATGTCCATCCATTATAACGTACTGTGAGTTCTAATAATGTGCAGTCCATAAAACTAAAACCTAAAAATGAAAGTTCAAATTCAATTCAATTTCAATTCAGCTTTATTTGTATAGCGCTTTTAAAATGTAGATTGTGTCAAAGCAGCTTCACATAAATGGTCATAGTAACTGGAACAGTGTGGTTCAGTAACTGGAACAGTGTGGTTCAGGTTTTAGTGTTTAAGTTCAGTTCAGTTCAGTTCAGTTTAGCTCAGTTCAGTGTGATTTAATCATTACTGAGAGTTCAAACACTGAAGAGCAAATTCATCGATGTGTAGCTCTACCAATCCTGAACCATGCGAGGCAGTGGCGACAGCGGAGAGGGAAAAAAACTTCACCTGATGGGAGTGAAGAAAAAAAAACCTTGAGAGAACCAGACTCAGTTGGGCACGACCATTTTAATTTCTCCGCTGGCCAAAAGTCTTGTGCAGAACTTCATTCGCCGTGGTTTATGCTAGAAGATGGCCTCAATGAAGACTCGTCTGTCCCTGGAGCGTCGCTGGAATCAGACACATGTTCTCCACTCCCCACGACCATCAGCGCAGCAGCAGCTCAGGATATGGCCTGGTCCCAGATATGGAATCCTTGGGATCATCACGTCGCTGGTCTTAGATCCAATCAGTGACTCCGCCTAATCTGAGGACCTCGGGATGAGTATCCCCAGGTGAAAATAGAGAATAAAGAGAATAATTAGCATAGCTGCTGTTCATAGTGTATATAAGCAAGATGCAGAAGCCAGTGTGGAACCCGCTAGGTGATGCATTGAGTGTATGCTTTACTAAACAGATAGGTCTTTAATCTAGTTTTGAACTGGGAGAGTGTGTCTGAGCCTCGGACGTTATCAGGAAGGCTATTCCAGAGTGTAGGAGCCATGAAAGAGAAGGCTCGACCTCCTTTACTTGATTTTGCTATTCTAGGTACTACCAGAAGCCCTGAATTTTGAGATCTTAAAGAGCGAGTTGGTTCGTAGCGAGACAGAAGGTTGGTTAGATAAACAGGAGCTAGATTATTTAGAGCTTTATAGGTGAGAAGTAATATTTTAAATTCAATACGAAACTTAACAGGCAGCCAGTGTAAGGAGGATAAAATTGGGGTTATATGATCATATTTTCTAGACCTGGTCAGAACTCTGGCTGCTGCATTTTGTACTAATTGAAGTTTGTTAATAGAGGATGCTGGGCAGCCAGCAAATAGAGCATTACAGTAATCCAGTCTCAAAGTCATAAAAGCATGGACTAGCTTTTCTGCATCTGAGATGGATAGCATATTTCGTAATTTAGCGATATTTCTCAGATGAAAGAAGGCAGTTTTTGTGACATGGGATATATGGTTTTTAAAAGTTAGATTGCTGTCTAATATGACACCCAAATCTTTTATAGTAGAGCTAAAGCTAACTTTGTATCCCTCTAATTGTAAATTGAGTTGCGAGATCTGCTGTGTGCAAGATTTAGGCCCAATAAGTAATAATTCTGTCTTGTCGGAGTTTAAGAGAAGAAAATTGTTGGTCATCCAGTCTTTGATGTCTTTGATACACTCAGTTAGTTTAGAAAGTTCAGACGTCTCGTCAGGTTTAGTTGAAATATATAATTGAGTATCATCTGCATAGCAGTGAAAGCTGATCCCATGTCTTCTAATAATGTCTCCCAGAGGTAGCATGTAAATTGTAAACAGTAAAGGGCCTAAAACTGATCCTTGAGGCACCCCATACTTTACTGGGCAGATTTGTGCAGGCTGTCCATTAAGATTCACAAACTGGTAGCGGTCAGTTAAGTATGACTTAAACCATTGTAGAGCCTGTCCCTGGACACCTGTAGACTTTAAGCGATTTATGAGGATATTGTGGTCAATGGTATCAAATGCCGCACTAAGATCGAGTAAAACTAATAGCGAGACGCACCCTCGGTCAGCAGCTAAGAGTAAATCATTGGTTATTTTCACTAAGGCGGTTTCTGTACTGTGGTGAGCCCTGAAACCTGACTGAAACACTTCAAAAATATTGTTCTTCTGCAGAAAAGAGCATAATTGAGTGGAAACAACTTTTTCTAGTATTTTAGACATAAATGGAAGATTTGAAATAGGCCTATAGTTAGCTAAGTTGTTGGTGTCTAGTTGCGGTTTCTTAATAATAGGCTTAATAACAGCTAGCTTGTAAGAGTTTGGAACATGGCCTATAGATAAAGAAGAGTTGATAATGTTAAGAAGAGGTTCTCCTATAGCAGGTAACAGCTCTTTCAGTAATTTTGTTGGAATTGAGTCCAGCATACACGTAGCTGGTTTAGAGCTATTTATAATTTTTACTAACTCTTCGTGTTCTATGATTTTAAAGCAGTGTAAATGTTACATTATTCAAGTTTGTAACGAACCTTCAAGTAAAGATCAACAATTTGTATTATTTTATTTTTAATTTAATATTGGAAATATGTTTTTAAAGTACAGTTGTTTTGACCTGATGTCTATTGAAATGGAAAAACAAAACAAAAAAATAACTTAAATCAATTATTTGATTTTCTTTTGAAATTGATTTTTCTTTTGAGAATTTCGGTAAATTAATAAATTCTTTTACATTTTTCCTGAAAGTTGGAACATAATTTAAGTTATTCAGGAAGGAGTTCAAATCCGATTTCAACATTAGTAAATGCACTGTAAGTGAACATGAACTAACAATCAATAACTTTTTATTAATTGACATTGATAAATACTGTAATAAATGTATTTTTCATTGTTTGTTCATGTTAGCAAATACATAACTTTTACATGAACATTAAATAAAACCTTATTGTAAAGTATTAAAACAATAATTACGATATTACTGTAAATGCTAAAAATCGCACACCTAGTGCATATTATAAGTATCCAAATTGGGATGTAGCCATTATAAATAACAGATGCAAAAACTAATGAGATATACATGAAACATTTTTATATGTGTGTGAGATCTATTTGAGTTTGTGTAAGTTGTGCTTGTGTTTCTATCTTAGGCCCACAGTGCTGCAGTGAACGCCCAGGCCAATGCCGAGATTTCTGAGCGCATTTCTTCGCTTGAAGCTGATGTGTCCAGACACAGAGAGGACTCGGCCAAAGCCCAGGCTGAAGTCGATCGTCTACTGGACATCCTGCGTCAGATGGAGAATGAGAAGAATGACAAGGACAGAAAAATCAGTGAGCTGGAGAGGTCAGTCTTTCTCCCTCATCTCCTTTGCAAATGTGATTATTTTTCACGTTGGTGTTGCAGTCAAAACGCGTTATGGTTTCTTGCTTTTTTGCTGCCATGTTTGGGCGTCAACGTCAAAACTTTTTCAGTGTTTGAGTTTGATGAGGCTGATGTTTTGACTGGACTTCTTTTCCCTCCCCTTGACTTTTGCATTGAAGCTCTGTTTTTCTCACGCTGAGTGGCCTTTGAACTTCTGCTTTTTGTCTCCCTCTTTTTCACTTTTTCACATGGAAATGTGTACCTAGTGTGGCTTCCAGGTTAGTAGATACATGTGTACTTCCACACACATTAATGGACAGAGTCTTTAAAGCAGTGGTAGGGAACCTATGGCTCGCAAGCCACATGTGACTCTTTGACCAAAAATATATGAATCTCCAGCTGTCTCTTCAATAACATTTTGTGGTTGAAAAAAATGATAATCGTCACTAAAAATCCAAAAGTTTCCTATTGAAAATACAATCACAATTCCTTTTTAGTGTCATTTTTTACAGCAAAATAAATAAGTACTCAGTTTACAATAAAAGGACGTTTTGATCAATGTATGTGTGCTTTGTTGTGAATAAACTTGAATCAACAAAAATAGGCGAACAACTTACGTTTCTATGGTAAACTCATGCACATAAATTCAGACAACATTCATTAGAGGTGATGGCGAAAAAATAATTCTAGAGATTGTCCTTCATTCATGGACTTATAGTTGTGATTTATAGAGTTGTACAAGTACATAAATGAAGTTTTTGTTTAAAAGTGTATTATTTGTTATTTATTTTTAATAAAAGGTTCCCGACTCCTGCTTTAAAGGATTAATACCCTTTTAAAGATCCCATGAGATCAGTTTTGTAGCAGTTAGTCTAATATATGATGGTGTACCCTTAACCCTTTAGAGGTTATTCTTTAAAATACTTATTGTAAAATACCTGTAGTGTGAGACGTTTAAACTTTTTAAAAATTATTGTATAGTATTATAATCAGTGTCAGTTAACATATATGTTTCTTTGCCAGAAAAAAAGGTTAAAATGAGCAGACTTAAAGTTAAGTAAAGTGAAAGGAAAATCCAAATTTGTATAACTTTATTATCTGCACGTTATAATCATCTTGCCCTTATATTTTCGAGGAGTGAGCAATATTATTATTGTTGACGTGAACCATAAATGGTGAAAAATACTGAAAAGCTTAGATATATTTAATATTATTTATCCTAAAACACTAAAAATGCTGAAATCGATGACTGAAAAACTATGGAGTTTCCAAAAGGACGTGGTGATTCTGAGAAATAGTTCATGTTCATTCACAAAATGTTTGCGTTTCCAAACCTTTCACTAGGAAACACAATACATTTGCAACAGAATTGGAATTGATTGGGGAGTGCAAAACATTTATGATATGTATAAAATGATAACTTTCTCAGGAGTACACAATACCTTTGCAAAAATGAATAGTTTCACCATAAATAGTAATGGGCAACCCGGGCTCATTGTGGAAACGTAGTCCCGCGGACGTTTCTGGAGATCGCGGAATACGTCCCGGCGGGTACGTACGGCTGCAGTTTTTGTTTTCGCGAATCCGTGAGAGGCCGCTGTTGCAGGCTTTTTCGCACCTTAGACGCCTCTTGCGAGCACGGTTCGTGCCCACGCTGTTCTCGCGTAAACCCGCGTAGGCCCCTGTTCGACCGGATGATTGACTGCGCAACCGGCCAATCGGCCGACCCGCCCTCCTCCTTCCCCCAACCCAACCCATTTTACCGATCGATTCGCCCGCCCGCTTGCTTCCCTAAACCCGAGCGACAGTTTACAAAAGCCGCCCAAAAAAATAGCTGAGCTGAGTGGACAAACGGGTTTCAGCGGGGAAGCCCTCCGCAAGGAGGTAAGGCAAGCGCGAAAGGGAACGGCGTCACACCGCCCTGCAGCGTTCGCTTGAAAAAAATAAACGCGGCCGTACGTACCCCCCATGAACCATCAACTATTCTGGCATATGTTTTATGCAGCGGATGCCCTTCCAGCCGCAACCCAGTACTGGGAAACAACCATACACTCTCACAATCACACACGCATTCATAAATTCATATGGCCAATTTAGTTTATTCAATTCACTTATAGCGCATGTCTTTGGACTGTGGGGGAAATCGGAGCACCTGAAGGAAACTCACTCAAACACAGGGAGAGCATGCAAACTCCACATAGAAATGCCAACTGGTCCAGCCAGGATTCAAACCAGCGACCATCTTGCTGTTAGGCGACAGTGCTAACCACTGAGCCACCGTGCCATCCTTTCAGGAATATGATAAACTATTTTTTGTGAGGATGCAATACTTTTATGAAAGAACATAACACTTTTTAAACTCCCGTCTCGTGTTGTTTTCTATCACCATGTTCCTTTTGGGTCTCTGTGTACAAATCAATTTATGCATTACGTAATTATAATGGACAGTATGAAAACTGATATTCATTTCGAGATTTACTAAAGATTAAATGTAATAAAATTATAAGTTATTTTAATTTAGAAGGATGTTTTCCATTAAAATCGTAACTTAAAACGAGTCCGCAATAATGGCAGTCATAATCTAAATATACAGTGCATCCGGAAAGTATTTATAGCTTCACTTTTTCCTCAAAATTGTACACACAATACTCCATAATGACATTGTGAAAAAGTTTTTTTTTTTTTAATTGCTGCAAATTTATAACTCGTAAATTAATAACCCGAACCTTATAGAAGGAAAACCATCTGTGCAGCAATCCACCAATCAGGCCTTTATGTTAGAATGGCCACAACATCAATGCTCCATGAATGTCATTGAGTGGCCCAGCCACAGCCCAGACCTAAATCTTATTGAACATCTCTGGAGAGATCTGAAAATGGCTGTAGACCGTCGCTTCCCATCCAACCTGATAGAGCTTGAGAGGTATTGCAAAGAGGAATGGGCAAAAATTCCCAAATACAGGTGTGCCAAGCTCGTGGCATCATATACAAAAAGACTTGAGGCTGTAATTGCTGCCAAAGGTGCATCAACAAAGTATTGAGCAAAGGCAGTGAATACTTATGTACATGTGATTTTTCAGCTTTTTTTATTTTTAATAAATTTGCAACAATTTCAAAAAATCTTTTTTCCCATTGTCATTATGGAAAATTGTAGAATTTTGAAATAAATTAATTTAATCCATTTTGAACAAGGCTGTAACATAAAAAAAGGGAAAAAGTAAGCGCTATGAATACTTTCCAGATCCACTGTATGAAATGAAGTAGTAATTTATTTGAGATTTAAACATGTATAGCATTATAGAATATTGATTTATCATGCATCCCTAATTTTATTTAATCAGAGGCTCACTAGAATGAGCACTGCCCCATAACATCACCTAATTGTATTAAAAATGATTAAATCATAGCTATGTCAAAACCTGAAATTCATGAGGTTTTCAGTAAAAAAGCAAGACAGAAACAACGAAAGAAAAGGCAATGTAATGTACTTGATCTTAAATATTTGCTCTTTAATAGTATTATTACTGTTGAAGAGTTTCAAATAGCACAAGCATTTTTCATCCGATCAGCCTTTGCAATATTTACAGACTAATAATAAAATAAATTTTTTTCCACAATAAATTTTGAACCCCTTTACTCTCCTCCACACTAAGGCCCTGTTTACACTCGTGTGTTTTAGTTTTACAATGGCGTTTTAAAATGAAAACGATCCGCGTCCACACTAGCGTTTCACCCAGTGTTTCTGAACAGCTCTCCGTCTACACCAAAACACTGAAAACGCACATCACAGGACCACACACACACTCCGGGCATGTGCTGCAGCCTATCTGGACAGATGAGAGCTGTGCTGGTCGGAGTGTTCATCAAGGATCTCCTGCTGGATCTAATCTCGCTGTATTTGTTAAACGAGATACTTAATTCATTTTGTTGTCAATATCTAACAACATATTCCCCGACTTTAGTCTTTTGAATCTATTACTTGTTCTCAGTTAACGTGTTTTGGCTGAGTGCAACGATAAATTAATAATTAATGTAACCATGTACATTCTGTATATGGAGTAATTGCTTGCCTTTATTTCCTATAATGTATCAATTTATTGTATGTTATACTTTTATAATGGCCATTATTGATTATTAAAATTGATATTCAGCAAAAAAGAGGGTATGTTTCGTATTTTCAATGAAAATGAAAAGAGGCAGTGATATTATAGGCTCTGTCTTGTTATGTATACGCATACAGTGAAGATGACGGTCATATTTGCAGCACGACGCCTCAACATTTCTGCTGTCTGTTAAGTTGTTAATATCAAAATGAAAATAGCAGTCCATATATCATGGTTTTATTTTATTGTTGAGATATAGTGAAACAACGTAGCCAGGATGATGTGAATAAGGCTATAAAGTAGACTGTTCCTTTTGAAGATTTACCTGACATGTTCTCGGTTGTCTGTTTTCCATATCAAACTTGCAAAGTCTGAACTTACAAGGAGAGGATGCAGGACTGAACTGTTTGTAGGCTTCTTAATATTAAAGGAAAACCTCAATCAGAGAGGCGAATGTCGGCAGCCCCGCCCTTGTTTTCAGATGTCTCCGTTTTCCCTCATCCACACTGAGAAGGATCAGCAACATTTTAGAATGGAAACGGCCTCTTCAGAGTTTCCAAAATGCTCCGTTTTCGGCGCTCGAAAACTCCGGCGTAGTGTGGACGATTGGCGTAACCGTAGCAAAACTTATGTGTTTTAAAACAAAAATGCATTAGTGTAAATGGGGCCTAAAACTCTTTAGTTCACCATTAAAATGCAGAGCGTTCTTCTCACAAAAGCATCATGTTTATGTTTCAGGCAAATGAAAGAGCAGAGTAAGAAGTCTGGCAAACACAAGGAGCCGCCGGGAAAGGGCAGAAATGTCAACGATGGCCCACAGCAGGTGAGGTGAACAGAGAGATGGTTATGACAGTTCTGTCTCTTTTGACGGCTCTCTGTATTTTTCCTAACACTGTCAAACTGTACTGTGTGCTGATGATGAGCTTGTCTATCCCAGGAGTCTCTGCGGCAGAAGGCAGAGCGTATCGAGGAGCTGGAAGAGGCTCTCAGAGAAAGTGTTCAGATCACTGCCGAAAGAGAGATGGTACTGGCACAGGAGGAGGCCGCTCGCAACCACCAGGAGAAACAGGTAAATATTAAAACGGTTGATATAATATTAATATAGTCAAAAGTACCAACTTGGATGTTGATACTTTGCAAGTGTGATGATACAAGCGTTTTCTGAATGCTTTTTAGGTATTTCTATAGGTTTTTTCACACCTAAAGATCGATTGTTTTGTTCTGAAACAGGAATTAAAATTGAAACAATGTTGTTTTTTGTCCTTTTTGTGGTTCGTTTTCACATGGCAACGTTTCTAAATGGTCCAAAGTGATTAAAAAAAAGTCACATGCTAGTAAGGTCTCCTAAAATTTGTCAGATTTGCTTTATTTTTCGAGATTACATTCAGTAGATATATGTTTTATTTTAATTTATGATAATGAGAAATATAACATTATAAGCAAAAAGGTGCACTTTAATTTTGAATGGTGACAACCGCAGACAAAAGGCTCTATCATAACCCTGGCACAATAGGGCGCAAGACTTGTTTTTACAACGTGTTGCTATTTTCAGAGCAGCGCAACCTAAATTTTCCAGTTATTCACCACGCTGTTTAAATAGCAAATATATTTGCGCCACTTTGTGGACTCACGGGTATTTTGGTCTAGAAAAGAGGTGTGTTAAGGCGCATTGTTGGCGCATTGCTATTTTTAGCAACTGAAATGGACTGCACAATAGACCTGGGGCCTCATGTATCAACGCTGCGTACGCACAAAAACTTTGCGTACGCCAGGTTTCATGCTCAGAATCGCTCACGTTTGGATTTACTAACGATGAACTGAACGTGGGAATGTGCGCAGCTCCACGCCAACTTCATGGCTGGCGTACGCACATTTTTTGTGCGTGTCTGTTTTATTTCCATTGGCGACTCCTAGAGGCAGTTGTGTTAAATTGCACTCTACAAAGTGTCTTTGAGCCGTGCAATGGCAGCTGTATGAGACGGGTTCATCGAGCAGGTATATAAGATTTCCATACCATACAGTTGACCAGCCAAACATTAAAGTGCAATTTGTAGCGATCGCCGGTTTCCCCAATGTAATCGGAGCAATCTCCTGCACGCACATTGCTCTAAAGACACTATCTGAAGATGAATTTGCATGCATGAATCAGAAACATATCGATTCAAAAAATGTGCAAATAAAATATGATGCACAGACTTATTAATGATTCCTACTTGTCTTCCTCGTGATAAATAGTTGGCAAAATCTGATATGTAGCGGGGGGAAAAAGAAAAATAATGACTTCATCAGACGCTGGATTCGAACGGAGTTCATGCTCGAACATGTCAAAACATGTTAACATGCGTTTTACGAGCTGCGCCACCCAGACTGTTAGATGTACTACAATATTTTGCACCTATACATCTCACTATTTCTTTTTTTAATCTCAGTGTGATGTTCAGATTTAACTGTGTTAACTGCATCAGCTAAACTCTCCCCACTCTATTTTTTTCTTTTGTTATTAATTCCGGAGGACAAACTTGCAAATAACATCGTTTTTCTCCGGTCTACCTCCGAACGGAGTACCTCCAATTCACATTCTGTTTAAAGTTTCTCTTTTTGCTTGATTTTGCCATTGCTTTTTCGTTGGGTTTTGCCAAAGTATAGTCATTAGCATATTCATATGGGGGAGGAGGCAGGGAGGGGTTTTGCGCTCGTGCATGTTGCGCTCAGTTTCACGTTCATTCGGATGTACAAAGAATATGTGTGGGATTTGGCGTACGCAGTGTTTCATATATCTGAATTTTTTTCTGCGTACGCACATTTACAGCTTTGTGCATACGCAATGTTTTAGTATGATTTCCACGCAAGTCTTCGTACATGAGGCCCCAGGTGAAAGCAGGTCAAAAGTCCAGCGCAGAGCGCTTTAATTGTTCGCCTCGCTTACACTTTGCTTAATACACATAGCATGTACAGAAATACAAAATATTATATTTATATATATAATATCTTTACAAATGAAAAATAATTTAAGAGTTAAAATATTTAAAAAATTATTACTTTTTACATAAATATAAAAACCACTGCCTCCATGCCTTCTTCATCTCGGGAGCTTTTTTTCAGTTTATTCATAACAATTTGCTTTTGTATAATGTTATTATTAGTAGCAGTATTATTTATTATATGCATATTTATATTTGCTTTATTAAAAACAAGCTTAGATTTTGATTTTCAATAAGATGTAGTTGTGTTTACTAACTATTTATTCAGTTAAACATAAATGTTGATCTGTAGGTATACATAAGCTCGAAACAGATTTTTGATGACCTTATTCCGACTAAAGTCATAACTAAACTAAACAAAAATTAAATTAGGACATGTGGATTTTGCATATATTAGTGTCATTACTGAAGTAAACACCACAATCAAACTATTACCGTCATGAAAGACTTTTCACTATATTTTCCGACAAGATGCACACACGCAGCTGACATTAAAGGAACGCACACACACACATACACACATCACGAAAAGCAGTTTTTTTCCTATCCATTTGGCGTGCGTTATTAAATTCCATAACTCTCTCACCAGTTCTTACTCATTTGTGTCTTACACCCCAGTTTGTCATGGCGGCATGAATTAAATGTTCATGAGTTAAAGTGAAAATTTCACATTTACAAAAGTAATAGGACAGAATAATAATCATAAATGAAACTTTTACTTTAAGACTTGGTTGCAAATCCTTTGCAGTCAATTAAAGCCTGAAGTCTGGAACGCATAGACATCACCAGACGCTGGGTTTCATACCTGGTGGTGCTCTGCCAGGCCTCTACAGCAACTGTTGTCAGTTCCTGCTTGTTCTTGGGGCATTTTCCCTTCAATTTTGCCTTCAGCAAGTGAAATGCATTTGGATCAGTTGGATTCAGATCAGGCGATTAATTTGGCCATTGCATAACATTGCACTTCTTTCCCTTCAAAAACTCTTTGGTTGCTTTTGCAGTATGCTTTGGGTCATTGTCCATCTGCACTGTGAAGTGTTGTCCAATGAGTTCTAAAGTATTTGGCTTAATATGAGCAGAAAATGTCGCCTGAAACACTTCAGAACTCATCCTGCTTCTTTTGTCAGCAGTCACATCATCAATAAATACAAGAAAACCAGTTCCATTGAGTCATACATGCCCACACCATGTCACTACCACCATGCTTAACTGCTTAGGATCAGTGTAGTTCCCTTCCTTCTCCATACTCTTCTCTTCCCATCACTCTGGTACAAGTTGATCTTGATCTAATCTGTCCATATGACGTTGTTACAGTACCGTGGCAGGTTTTTAAAACTCTAACCTTACCTTTCTGTTTTTGAGGCTGAGCAATGGTTTAGATTTTGTGGTAAACCCTCTGTATTCACTCTGGTGTCGTCTTCTCTTGATTGTTGACTTTAACAAACATACACCTACCTTTGTATGTTCTTGATCAGGCCACGCTTAATGTTTTTGCTTTTTCTCTGATGGTTTTGTTAGCCTAACGAGGGCTTGCTTGACTGAAAGTGACAGCTCTTTGGATCTCATCTTGAGCGTTAACAGTAAAAGATTCCAAATGCAAATAACAAACTTGAAATGAACTCTCTGCCTTTGATCTGCTCATTGTAATTGGGATAATGAGAAAAAAATATACACCTGGCCATGGAACAGCTGAGAAGCCAATTGTCCAATTGATTTGGACCCTTAACAAGTAGGAGGCACATATGCAAGCTTTTGTAATTCCTACAGCGTTCACCTGATTTGGATGTAAATACCCTCAAATTAAAGCTGACAGTCTGCGGTTAAAGCACGTCTTGTTCATTTAATTACAGATTCGTTGTGTTGGTGTATGGAGTAAAAAATGTTAGAATTGTGTCGATGTCCAAATATTTATGGACCTAACTGTATATTGCTATTCCATAACCATAATATACAGTGATACCGACGGGTTCGTTGGATCATATTGCTTTCTCACTACAACTGAAATACTCCAGAGTTTGTTTCAACGGAGCCGAGACCACCTCGTTCAGGCTGTCTCGGACCAATTGTTTTGCTGCAGATTCGAGCGGGATTGTGGTGTTCACATAAGCCGAAACAAACCAAGCTAAGGGGCAAATGGACCAGGTTCAAAAACAAATGTCTAGGTGTGAAAGCACCCTAACACATCTGATTGGTCATTGTGTTCACAAGCTCAACAGATATAACTGATTCACAACAATATCTCTTAACACTATTTAGTAAAGGCTTACAAAGTTACATAAACATATGAGGGATTCACTGATTAAGTATTCAAATGCTCTCATGTCTGTGTATCTGCCTGGAGAAAATCTTAGCATAGATGAACAACAGAACTTCTGGTCTTCCTGGCAACTTCAGCTATATAACATAATTTCACCATCCATCTGGGATCATTAACTATTATCCCTCCTAAGGCTGAATAGAGCGCTCTGAATTGTTATTCTGCAATAAATCAGAGCGCGAGAACATAAATTGAAGTGACGTAACCAAGTACACAATTAAAGTCAAAAGGGGATCCAAAGAAGCCGGCTGTAAATCACTACATTTTTAAAAATATTTGCAAACGATATGAATTATTTGATTATTTTCAGAAGTGAACCCCTCTGTGGTGAGTGACAAGTACTGTGGTAATGGTACTAAACCCTGCTTCATGAAAACTTTTTTATGTGTGCTTGTATGTCGGTTTCATTTTGTGGAATGAGAAAACAAACTACTGTCCCCGGTGAGTGCTGAAAGACACTCTCTCACACAGGTGCAAAACATGTGCTCTCGTTTCAGCCTGCTGCCGTCTGTTTGGTGTGTTCATGTGCAGCTTTTTGGTCTAGATGCAACCAACGAAAGCCAACAATATAGTAGTTATTCAGCTATGCTGTTTGTTGTTTGCTATTAGCTTTGTTGTTTGCTATTAGCTATGCTAATTCTTTGGTTTCTGCTTGGTGTGTCTCGCCCTTAAGACTGAAGGGTTTTATTCTGCAAACAACAACCTGGATGCACTTTATCCTGCTTTTTTACATGGCAACCTGCCAAAAAATAAAAAATTAGACATCTCATTGTTCTGAGATGTAATAGTTTATTAACTCTTTAGTTAAAGGCAAAGTTGAAAGAAATGAAAATGGCTGATGAAGCATACGCTAATGCTGAGCTCAGACTGCACGATTTTCAAAATAGTCTTGTCATGGATGTTTTCACTTTGCATAACTATCTGGGGTAGCGTTCCGTCTGTGCTGTGTTTACATAGATGGATCGGCGACAGGGGGTTTCACACTGCATGACTTTAAAATAGGAAGATTCACCTATAACTTTGTCCTCACAACCAAACACACACGAGAAGTGACATGGAAACAATGCGAGATCATGTAATATATCTTTCGTTATTAACTACATAATGAGAAAGAAGCCTTTATTGGGGTAGAAAATGTACTTATATTGCTCACCTGGATTTTGAAAAGAATTAGCAATTTCTCCTCAACTGTTTTCTTTTTTTAACCCGGTTGTGGTATTGCTCAGATGACATGTCAAACCTTTTCCTCCATTTCTTGGGTCCAAATAAACTGAAAATAAGTGCTTTTGACTTCTCCCCCAACCTCCCGCTAGCCTGCAGGTATCAATACTTGTGGATGCTGCTCTCTCATTGGCTGTAGGTAATTCCTGATATTATTTTCAATCAGAACACATTTCACACAGCATGATTTTGAATTGCTGACAGGTCCAGATAATTAGCATGCCGAATATCTCATAGGTGTCGGCGACTCATTTGCGATTCTCTCAGATCTCGTCCTTGATAGTTTATACTATGTGATTGTCGCTCACGTGAGCAAACACCAATTTGCCTGTGATTCAGGGAAATCAGGGCTAAAATCATGCAGTCTGAACTCAGCATCAACTATATATTGTTCAGTCACAAGATGGTGCCAAACAGTCAAAAACTGTGGCAGAGACAGTCAAACATACTCACTGACGGTCAAGATGATTTAAAGGACCCGGAGAAGCCCGTAACTGGGAATAGCATACCTTGGAATGTTGCAACTGACCAATCAGAATCAGGTATTCTGGCCAGCCATGTAATAACACTCATTAACCCTAAAGGCTAATTTATTCTTACCGTACGTTTACACCAAAAGAAGCGAGAGCGTCAAAGTAGTCGGAAGTCATTCATTTTCAATGACAGCCGGCGGCTTCGCCGGTGTGGGCGTCAAGGAAAATTTAAATCAAGTTAACTTTATGATAATAAGCTATGACGTGGTTCGGCGGCAAGCAATCAGAATGAAGAAGTCCTCCGCTTGAAAGGAGTTCAGAGAACACAAACCTGTGCACTTTGGTTCTGACCACACGTTCCCAAAGGTTTGATTGTGGTTTGATTGCAGTCGACTGATTTTCAGTTATTTACAATGTTTCCTTACAGGAATATGCATTAAATAAGTTACTGGCGAGTTACTGATGAGCCTTAATGTAATATATACTTATCTAAAAAGCGGGAATCTCATGCGACAGTGCAAAGCAGTATTGCTGCTTCAGGATATTTCAGACATATGGACATATTGGGTAATTAAGTGGAGCAAAGCCATACCACATGCAACTTGATCTTCCATTCTCAAATTAATTTGATTAGAAGTGCGCATCATTTTCACGCTAGAAAGCAAATGTTTTATGCAGGAATGTAACTGATATGCTGCAACGACCCCTTTTAAATACGAGATCAATGTAGCGAATTCTGATGCTCTCGCCGCCGGAGCTGAAGGCAGACAGCGTTTTCGCCAAGGCAGCCAAACCGACCTTAGACGCTCTCACCGCCTTCGGTGTGAACGCACAGTTATGTGTCAAGTGCACGCATATGGTCTGGTGCAGTCTTCGCACGGTCACATACCCCTCTTGTTTTGTGTTTACCTTATGATTAAAGTTGTTGCATGACTGCAGGTTCTTGCCTTAGAATGAGCAAGGTTTAGCTACTTGCACAGCACGTAGCGTTCAGAAAAAAACAAACACCAGCGAAGAAACTCAACACAGAGAAACACAAAAACTTCACTGCCAGCTAGTGTTTTAGAAGTGTTATTGCTGTGCAGCATAAACAGTACTCAGAAATATAAATGCACAACAACGCACAAGGCAGGCATAGTGGGTCACACCTATCACTCGACGCACAAGTATAAACCAGCCATAACCCACTCTGAGGGCTCTTGGCCTTCCACTCACTACATACAACCTAAAAAAGAAATCTCTTTCCCTTCCCTAATCTAGGACTTATTCATGAATTAGTGTTAAATCTTTTTTCATAAAAACGTTTGAGAAAAGTAAACTATGCACAATTTTGAGAGCAAAATGTCTATTGTCAAAAGTCAAATTTACATTGTTTTCCATTGGTCAATGTGTCAATTTCATTTTACCAGCTTCAACACAAAGTGAAATCACCCCTAAAAGTGGTAAAGTTTGTGATGTACAGAACAAGTGAAAGAGACATACCTTCTCTTTTTGTCCTAAAAGATGGAAGAGCTGCTCGGAGCGATGGAGAAGGTAAAGCTGGAGCTTGAGTCCATGAAGGCCAAGATGTCGTCCACCCAACAGTCTCTGGCAGAGAAAGAAGCTCATCTGACCACACTGAGGGCCGAGAGGAGACGACACCTGGAGGAGGTGCTGGAGATGAAGTAGGTTACAAAAATCATTTTACATCCTGTCATAACGGTGCCTAAAAAGAGTCTGAAATCTGAAAATGGGAGGAGGAGTAGGGTTTGTGAACGTATTGTGAAATGAAAGCCATTAAATATATATATTTTTGCACATTTAATTTTTTTATTATTTTGAGTATTTATAAAGTACTATTAAGTGAAAATGGCTTTTTGTAAAATATGAAGTTATATTAGTTTCAGAAAACATTTGTAAAATTTATTTAGCATTTCTCCCAAAATTTCTCACACAGTTTGAGCAATGAATTTTGCTGATAAGCATGAAAATCTTATAGTGATTGTTTATTTATATTTTTAATTAGAAATAAATCAAGTTTTCATAAATTTAATCAGTGTATTTCAGTTTAGTTGTAAATTTAAAAGAATTTAATTATATTACATGCTTTGCGTTGGGGATAAATTATATGTTCTTAAATTTAATGCAGAGATATAATGCAATAAGATTTATCATTAATATTAATAAATCCGAAGCATGATCCAAAACAGCCAGGTTTAAACTTTGACTAAAGCGATTCAAAGCTTTACAACGTGGGGTAAAATTCCTCAATTTGTGTAACTGTTTCTTTGTTGCAGCCTTCAGAGCAATTCATGGTTTTGAAACGTTTCAAAGCTTTAACACAATTGCTTCAACTGTTTCAGTGTTTTATGAAGCCTTGCACTGCCCAACACTAGTCAAAAGCAGACAAATGATCGGTGCAGGTGACAAAAAAACAGGCAGGATAAACAAAACACAGGTCAAAAACACGACAAGGCAAGACAAGACAAGAATACCGCTTAGAAATTTTCCGAACAACAAGACACTGCAACTGCATCATGGTGGCGCAATGGGTAGCACGATCGCCTTACAGTAAGAAGGTCGCTGGTTCGAGCCCCAGCTGGGTCAGTTGGCATTTCTATGTGGAGTTTGCATGTTCTCCCCATGTTCGTGTGGGTTTCCTCCGGGTGCTCCGGTTTCCCCCACAGTCCAAAGTCATGCCATATAGGTGAATTAAATAAGCTAAATTGGCCATAGTGTATGTGTGTGTCTGCAAGAGTGTAAAGGTGTTTCCCAGTATTGGGTTGCAGCTGAAAGGGCATCCGCTACGTAAAATATATGCTGGATAAATTGGAGGTTCATTCCACTGTGGCAACCCCTGATTAATAAAGAGACTAAGCTAAAAAGAAAATGTATAAATAAATGAAGACTCAGCAACTTGTCTGTGTGTGTGAGGTGTATTTATAGTAGGGATGTCCTGATACAACATTATAACTTCCGATATGATACCGATATTGCAGCCTTCAGTACGAACCGATACCGATATAAATCCGATATTAGCACAAATCATGAATACTTAACTTTTTCCTATTTCGTTGAGGGGAATTTATGAACAGCTTGATAAAACTGAGAACAAAAGTCAGCAACAGTGAGGATGGAAAAAAACAAGCAATATATTAACTATTGGTTGCATAAATGTGAACCTTTTACATAAGAATATATGAAAAAGAATTAAAGAATAAATATTAAGACCCTGAAAAATATCTTAATTGAATAAACAAAAATATATTTTTTAAAGTGTAAAATACTAATTTAAGGTCACTTCAGTTATTTATTTTTCAGCATCAGCAAATAGTTGAGACAGCTGAGAGCAGGAACATATGAAAATAAAACATTGTTAATTGAACAACTGCTAAAGGTTGAGTGTCCAATGTTTTAATTTCACACACAGCTTCTTGATGAATTTTTGATCCAGTTTTAAGCTGAAAAATATCTTTCACACAGGGGAGCAGATATAAATTATTGTTAAGCTAATGAAAATGTGCAGTATGGTTAATACAAAAATTTACATGATCAGATCTATTTAATCTGTGTTTGTATCATAAGAAGATTATGGCTGTATCAATGTTCCCAAACCTTATTAATTTTATAATAAAATATTTGCACATATTATCTTTAACAAATATACTTGTAGTAGCTGGATTGAAACACACCTTTTCTCCTCAGCACATAAAATAATGTGACATTTAAAAATAATTTAATTTATCAAAATAAATTGTATTTGCATAATATATTGCACAGATTCCACCCTACTGCCTTACATGGGAAAAGTACGACAATGTAAATAGAGACAGAACTGCAAACTGATGTGCAAAGCTGACACTGTTTATCAGAGCACTTTATCTTTCTGAGCTTTTTAAAGAAGAGTTAAATATGGGAATGCCTCTAATCAAATTTTCCTTCTGCCCGAAAGTAATACCATTCTTTCTTTTAATCTGTAATGGCCCTCAGCAACAGAATGATTTCTTTTTCTTATTTAACAGACAATTAAAACAGCAAAGATGTTTAGCATTTAACACCTTTTACACGACTGTTTCTTTTCAGTGTGTTCAAGTAAAAAAATGAACTAAAAAATAAGAAATATACTATTTCACTCCTACTATCCGTGTGCACCACTGACAGGTCAAATCTGCTCCCTCTCTCCCTCCCTCACTCTCTTCCTCCCTCCCTTACTCTCTCCCTCCCTCACTCTCTTCCTCCCTCCCTTCCTCTCTCCCTCCCTCCCTCCCTCACTCTCTCTCTCTCTCTAGTGTTTGTGCTGCTGAGAGATTGAGATGCACCGGAAAAAGTTTGCGTATAAAGTAATGCATAAACTCTGCTAAACTCTGACTGACAGACTCTGCTAAAAAAAACGAAAGCAGAATCCGGGACATGTTAGGCGATTTAGAAATCTTCGCTGAATGCATTTTAAAGTCCCAAATAGATGACATGTCTGGGAAAAAGAGGATGTATTGTCACCCTAAATAATGAGCTGGATCAATCTATTTAGTAAAAGGCTTTTCTTCTCCACGTGTCCTCGTGCTCTTCTCAAAGCTAAAGTCATAAGAGGTGTCTAGCGCGTCTCTGTGGGTCTGCAGCAGTATTCTCACGCACACAGAACCGGGCCACTGAGGTAAAGTCTTCTGTGTGGGAAGCGCTGGTGTTAATAGCCTCAGCGTGTTAGATTTCTATCGTAATACACCATACCTTAGTGTGAAGAGCATGTTAAATCTTAAAGAGACTTTGCTAGCAAGCAGTGTTATGATCACGTGGGCTTTGCATGCTGGCTCTGGACGCTGCTGGATAGAATAGCTGTAACGGAGTTTAGAGCGAATCGGACTGCTTATATCGGAGATTTTTAACGCAGTCTGATATAGTTTTTTAGACTGATATTGGACCTATTTCCGCTGTCAATATAAGATCGGGACATCCCTAATTTATAGTCCATGAATGTCTTTACAAGCTTCAGCTGTGTGTTTGCAGTCAAGGGGGATCTGGGCTAAGTGTGAGAGTGCAGGGAATGATGGGATTTGTAGTTCATTTCGGTGGAAGAATTGTAGTCCAGGTGCATTCTTTTCAGGAATCTGTTAAGCCTAAATTGTTGGTGACTGTGACAAAATTACTGATTCACTAGTGAACAGTGATTCTTCTGGTCTGAAACAGACCTTAAATATTAACAAAATTATATAAAAATTTTTAAGGCATTATGTGGAATAAAAGTTTTTTGCACAGTGAAACTGGAGACCCTTTACTTTAAGCAAGTTACACATCCAACATAAACTGTTCCTGAATGACTATATCATCCATCAGTAAATCAAAAGACTTACTAAACGACCAAATCCACTTTGGCTTACATAACAGCATGAAAACAAAAGTGTTATTCATATTGAAAATAAATGATACACAGAAAGCGGGCAACATGACAACACTAGAATACTTCCATCCTGTCGTAATGTATTAGGCTGTCAATGCTCGTTTACATAGTTTCATGTGTCTGCGCACAACATGAGCTCAATGACTGTATGTGCAAGCAGTCAGTAATTAACAAACCATAATAAATCTCTTATTCGGCCCATACCTTGATTTGTTGCGTTACTCACTTGCATTGGGTGAATAAAATCATATACATAGATGCCTGATCAGCAGCTATACATAAGCCATCTGCAATAATTGAACAGTCATTATTGCAGTTAGTAATCACTAACAGTATAATGCATCTGCGACATTATTTATATGTATCTATGAAAATCTAAATTTGCAATAGGCTTCAGCAGATGATTTTGTTAAGCTTACATTATTTAATAATGGTGCATCTCAATCAACTCCTTTGTTCAGTAGTGAGGAAGTCGGCCAGTGCACTGAAACATCAAATACATCCCTCCATGAAAAGACCCATAATGCATCATGAAAATCACAGATGCTTACTTTGTTTTCTTAACAGATGTTTTGAAATTCATTCATTCATTCATTAATTTTCTTGTCGACTTAGTCCCTTTACAAATTCTGGGCCGCTACAGCGGAATGAACCGCCAACTCATCCAGCTCATTTCCACACAGCGGATGCCCTTCCAGCCGCAACCCATCTCTGGGAAACATTCGCACACACTCATACACTACGGACAATTTAGCTACACACAGAAACGCCAACTGACCCAGCCAAGGCTCGAACCTGCGACCCAGTGACCTTCTTGCTGTGAGGTGACAGCAATACCTACTGCGCCACTGCGTCACCATGTTTTGAAATGTGAAACATAAATCATGAATCAGAACTAAACTGGCCATAGTGTATGAGTGTATAAATGTGAGAGTGTATGGGTGTTTCTCAGTACTGGGTTGCTACTGGAAGGGCATCCGCTGCGTAAAACATATGCTGGAATTGTTGACGGTTTATTCCGCTGTGGAGACCTCTGAAACACAAAGATTAAGCCTAAGGAAAATGAATGAATGAATGAATGACTCTTCCAGGAGTTCAAAAAATTCAGGAGTCCACAAAATGTTGCAACATTTGCTTGATTTTACGCAAAATTCAGCGATCAACTAGTCAGCAAATTCTAGGGCCCTTGTCTACTGGCAAGATGGTATTAAAGTCGAAATCTCCACTAATACACCCACTGGGTCGCCATCGAAAAAAAAACTGAATTACAAACAGCTCATATCCAGCCCCGCT